CAAATGTGTGTTTTACGCAAATATTTGTTTCGCACCTCATGGTACCCTTGATGTTGATATTAGGAAGTGATATGAAATTACAACTCGCATCAAGTGCAGATAATCGATTAGCACGGAACCTAATTGCTCATTGGTGTTCGCCGTTGATGAGGACTGTTTCGAAATTGAGCTACCCAATTTGTTTCGTCAATCTTATGAAACTTGCAACATCGTTATTCTGGTATCCCACCTATCATTCTCTCAATTCATCGCAGGACATTGAGGAATGTTCACCGCAATAAGGGTAAGAGTTACCTTAAACAGTCACATGCTTAGTTGAACTTCCACTCTCATTGTCTCCGGTCCTAATTGCTTGAAACGTCGAAATTGATTGACAAATCTATGTGAAGTATTCCTAGTTATTTGGAATCTCCTCGTAGGGCTGGTCACACAACCCACTACCGTAATGGAGCCCTAATTTGACAATTCAGCTTATGTTACTAGCTGGCTGACTTCCCATGGCGAATCACAACAATGGAGTGTGATCCAATCGACATTAGTTATTCAGATATATCTGACACGATAATTAAACTGGATTTAGCCAGTTAAATTAACGGCGACAAACGTGTCAACCAACAGCACGTGTAACATGAGGACCAGCTTTCGAGGACCGAACCTCACTGGTTCAATGCCTAACTGGATTGAATGTTGTTTCTGGGATGCATTCACACTGAACCCCATTGCTAATGAGATCTTTCCCCGCCCCGTCTATTCACAAACCAAATGACCTCATGTGGGCTTTGCATTACAGATTCCGAGCTAACTTGTTGCATGCACCTTACTCCGTTGTGCAACCGAAAACGTGTGGTTTTAAGTGTGGAATATACGGATCAAATATGGTACTTTCTTGCTCTTTTTGAAAAATGCATCTGGGAACAACTGCGCCTTCAACCATACAACTGTCATCTTGAGTCGCATGTACCAATTTGCATCAGGACCACTGAGACAGTTCGGGTGCGAGTTTACAACTGTTTTGCAAGCAGATGTTATCACCATCCAATATAACTTAATAGAAATAAACTGGTGGGAATTACCAATAGGTATACTCCTCATGTGTGTGAGACGTGTCACGTCAGTGTTATTCGATGCAACCGGAAACCTGAATTCGTGTCATGTAAGTGATCACGAGAGGATACGTTATGTGGAATGCCCAACGGGTGATGGGTTGTAGATCCAATGAACGCATGGTTACAACATAGATTTGGGGTTTGTACTGGGCAGAAGAAGAGGGTGTGACAATTTACAGAAAACTCCCCGAATGAACCTGCAACACACGACAGATTGATCACTTTGCAATGGAACAACATGGTGTGAGGTGAAATTACATCGAGAAAGATTAGGCTTCCGTTTACTTCACTCTGAAAATATATCTGTTTACGCGCTTTCCAAGGAAACGCTCGAATAACGGTTGTTTGAACAGAGAGGTATCCAATTCTATGGTGGAAATCAGTTTTTGAGGATGTTCGTTACGAAAGTCCTATTCTAGTGGACGGGTCTAGGTCTAATGAACAACAGAAATTTCACATGCTGACATTCCTGCGTACACCCCCAGTCAGTTGTTGTGCAGTGATCGTGATTCGTGGATTTTGATCACACCCGAGTGTATTGGGTGAAAACCGTGTTCAAGTGTAGTCCTCTACAGGTTGGCACAGCCACACGTATATCCCTGACTTGAGGCAAGAGCCAGAAAACTAAAGCGAATGATATCGCAATCGTGTAACAGAGAGAAGAAGGCTCCAGTTGTCCATTCCAGGACCCTAATTTGATCAGCTAAAACAAATGCATTGCTGAAGTTCAAAAGACGGACCACGAGCATCCATCATCACGTCTGAATGCGTGTGATTTGTGTGATAGTGTCAGGTCGTACGCATTCATACGACGTACCAGTAAAGGCGCACGCTAAACGCATCTGAATTTTCACGTCTGAACAGCCGGCTCATATGTCGAGGGACGTGCGCACGCCAGACTTCAGAAATTACTCTTTGGTGATGAAGTTCCAGTGAAAAAATTCCGTGTAAACCTATTTGATTTCCAACTGGTTGTATTTCTCGGAAGCAGTCCAATCTGGGTTCAAGTGGAACATAAGGTTGACGGGAACTGGGGGACTGAGCCTATCCAATGAGCCCCAAGGATGTCGAAGCCGGTCGTGATCTGCCACGTTTTCGGCAGATGACCTTATGTTCTACTCGAATCCAAATGGTATGAAATTCACACAATGCTCCCCTTTGCTGTGACGGCGAACAGAACTGGATCGAGCTGAATCTCTTGTTTAACGCGTCCCGCTTCTCCAAATGTGATGGATGAAGTATGAGTGTCGAGTGAAGAGAGGGCGCAACATTTATGGTGCCAAGTAGCGGTCACTTGCTTGTTCCTTCAACCGACTTCGCTTTATTTGTCCAGTGCATCCGTGCTCACTGTATCACGCGACTCCTTGGTTCCCCAACGCACAAAGCACGTGAAAAAAACCCGTCCCGCTCGCAACCTAGACCGACAACAATTCAGTTCCCGTCTGGTAGGCGGTGGAACGATTCTAGGTGCATGCCGGGGACAGGGGTCAGCCAAACTCGTCAAGTCCACGGGCGATTACGGAACATGTGTAGCAGCTATAATGCGTAAAACACGTTCCTGCCATCCACGCATTCACCATTGAAAAGATTGAGCGCCATAAGTCGCTTTGTATAGATTCTTTCATGACACATGGAGCACAGCAAATGCTGCATCTTTCCGTCTCTGGTGGTATAGGGTCTGGATGGCGGCGTGGTTGACTCGGCGGATCTGCTTTCGGTCGAACAGGATCCGAAGGGCTAACTGACGACGGCGTTGGGATACAGTTTTCCAGGTGTTTGGAATTACCCTAAAGGCATGGAGATCCAGAAGCGACAGGACTTGATCCGGTGTCAATGCTCTTCCGGATTGGGTTGAATTTCCCGTTAAAACAAAACAACTGAGCGAATGATTGCAGTTTGCGAATGACGTACTATTTGGGTTGAGCTAGAACATAAGATTGACGTCAGCGTGGGAACTACACCTGGCTCTCAGCAACCTGTCCTCCTCCCCTTCTTCCTTCGTTCCTTCGTTCCTCCCTTCATTCCGTCCTTCTCACTACTTCCATCACCAGAACAACCTTGTTCTGCGTGAGCCGGACTGGTGATGAATGCCTTCATAGACAATTCGTTTCCAACACCTAACATAAGCGATTCAAATGCACTGTTCTATACTGACGCCTCCAACATTCTGATCCAATGCATCTCTTCATGTACTGGGAGTAGATTTACTCCAGATGGTGAGGAGTGGCCAGACCAGATCCCTGCGCTGCCACGCAAAATGACAAAGTGCCCCTGCCGTTGGTTTGTATGCCACACACACACACACACACACACACACACACACACACACAAGGGGTATCCCTGTTCCGAATGTAAACTAGCACACGCTGCTTTTGAGGAATCCACAAAATTCCCCCTACCGAACAGTAGGCATTCATTGCATTCATTGTCAAACTAAAGGTCAACAGGTATTCTCTTCGAAATCCGACATATAATCTTCGAACAGTAGAGACAGTCAGTTGATAGCAGCTCAAAACCAAGTGACATGGATTCCATAATTCCGGCTTGACAAACACCGATCTGGTGAAATCACCGTCTAACGTGACTCGTTGTCATCTGGACGACCAAAGAATTGTCGCCTCATTGGTCGGTTGTTGATTGTCTCTGTTCTGGTATGTCGCACCAGGTGGTTCGGGCTAAGGACCATTTGGTAAGAGGTGAAGGGCAAGTATTGGCGCATTCATACTAATCCATGTGTTGTTTTTATAGCCCATTGATGAGAGGAAATAATTCGACACTAGATAGGGGTTTACCACTAGGTTATCGTTTGTGCTTTCGAATGGTCGAATGATGAGGACCTCAGGAAACATGGTAAACACGATAAGATTTTTGGAAAAGTGATTCTTCGACACTCCAGACTGAGAACAGTGCTGCCGCAAACGATCATTTTATTTTCGCCAAACACCGAAATTTAGCAAACAAAATGAGTTACGACGGTTCGAATTGAACTGCAATTCTAAAATGCAAGAGGAATGGTATGCGACATTTTCCCGATTAGTTGAAAAAGAAACTGACATGTATTGTGTGGCAAAATCAAACTCATGAGGATAGGGAACGGGGGTTCGATCTATACTTTCCCTGCGGACACTTTGCTGTCCAACACGCTCAAATGGCATGGCTCCTAGCAGTTCTCAACAATCGACCAACTACGGATCTCATACCATTGCATGGCGTCACATAACTAATAAGCAGTGAAAATTCTCCAAATCCTACCAATACAAATACAAAAGCATCAATGCTACTGGGGATCCTAGTCTCTCTACCGGTGTGTGAGACGAAATGGTGCGAAAGAGTTGACGTTTCTCACCGTTTTTCCTATGGGCAAAATGGAGAGTTCTGAAATGCATTGGAAAGTGGTGATCAAGATGAGGATATGGCTTTGATGCGAAGCAGATGCGTTGAGTTTTGCAGATAACATGACGGTGGAATGGGATTTTGAACTGAATTCCAAAGTGCCATTAATTAACCGATAGGGGACATTACGAGACAGAAACAAACGCATGGAAACGAGCCCACAGTGCTCCAATCGAAGCGCTGTCTTAACTTTTACATATCCACAGGTATGCATATAAATGCGTTAGTGTATACGTAGATCGTAAGATGGCAACGAAATGCGGAACGTAAAATTCATGAATGAAATTCTTGAGAGGGATGCGGATTGTAATCAGATATTCCGAATGTGTTGTGTGGAATATTGGTGGGCGTATTCAAACTAGCATTTTAACGCAGTAAATTGGGAATCGGAATTTATGTTTTATGGTTTCGAAATGACCAGAATGACCACAATGACGTCAGGTCTTCAGACGCTGAAAACATCGCCAACTTCCGCTTCCAGTCCTACATTCACTTGATTTTATGAACCATGCGTCAATTGCAGCAGTCTCGGAAACCTTGAGACGGTGCCTGTTCATCCGACGTTCGGATTTCCCGTGTTGGTTTCAGCCAATCAGGCGGCTGGCAGACAAACCAGAACAGAGTCTCCTAAGGTTCAATTCCCAGAGCATTGGAGATGATTCAAGTATCCAACTGGACTACTGTCAGCCGATTCCTACGGAAGGCAAACAAATTCGACAATGGGACAATGGACACACATGAAGCGGTAACCAGTAGAGTCGTCGGCCAAACACATCATGTTCCTGAACATAACAGACTGTGCACATGTCCTAACTAACTATCGCCTCAACATTGAAAACAACACACATTAATGGAGCGCGGAATACAAGCATGATATCTGTTCGAAAATGTCAAATCTAACCGCGCAGAATGTGTCGGCATCTATTCTCACGAACGTGTTCCATACGCCCGATATAAAGTCCGTGCACTGCAATGACAGAAAGAAATAAACACAGGTATACCATCACTCCGGTCAGAACATGCAACAACACAACATCGGTTGTCTAGAGAAATAATTATCTAGGAGACTGTTGCAGGTCGACTAACAGGAAAGATTGAACAAAGTGGCACTTCGCAGTTTGGTCTATGAGTATGTATTCATGCAATGTTCGACAATATGAGCTATCCGCCTAAAGAAAAACTCAAGATCGTTCGAGTGTGTCCCGAGCGGCCGTGCGCATTGTATCCACATTCTAAGATACCATTTGAGAATTCCAATTGTCCTGGACCGTTTTTCTATACCAATACTTAATACTACTCATCCCAACAAAAGACACAGACTTTCAACTCGGCTGTTGGCTGTTCACATTTGTTGTTCACATTTGTGTGACGTGCACATCACGCACGCAATCACATGTGTCAATTAACAGGTGAATCGTTTCCAAATGTGGGAATTTAGTCGGGAAATATGAAACTAAGTTTATCAGCTCCAGGAACACAATAAGTCCAATAACTGTTTCGAGATCTGGGTGCCCTCGAAGGGTGACTTTTGGTTAGGAACTGCTTCACTGTGTTGGGTTATTCCATTCATACGGCTCCCAATAAAAACTAAGCTTCGTCAGATCCTAGTTCTACCTTGTCACAGTGGCGGATATCGAGATGGATTTGAATGCACAGAGACGTAATTTAAAGATTTGATTGAGCTATCCTAAATTGGGTGGCCACTAGTTTGACTCACTGCGTCATCCGAAATCAATTTGCAAAGACTACTCGTAACTCCCTCTTTCTTCGCCTCAAGGGATTTGAAGAAACCGGTAAGACTTTCCACATTGCTTTTGCATGCCACACATCCTGTTGATGGAGAGAGAAACTCGTTATCAAGGGAACACGTTTTCGAACAACCAAGCCACGTGCAAAGTAGATTTGTATGGACAGGTTGAACACTCATGCTTGAGAACAAGCCACATGTGGGCAAGCCTCATCCGTCGAATGTCAAAATATCGTGGTTGTTGTCGAACGCCGGATAAAAACAGAGTTCGCATGAAATATAGACGAATTACACATAGAAGCACTCCATTGCACTTGTAACACGCACAAAATGCTAGCCCTGGATGCGTGAATCCGCCATCTACAAATATTCGAGCTTAGAACTAGGCAGGCAGCTTTCGTGTATGACTAGGCTGGAGCATGAGACCCGTGTGAGTATGCTTCGTTCAGATCGTGCATATGTTTAAAGTCGAGTGTGGACTGGAGGCAATACGTGATGTTCCCTCACGCAAATCGTTTTCGTTGAAATTTATTCTGCTTTACTGTGAGGCTTGAATGGCACGCGAAGTGAACATGTAACTAACTGCAAAATACAAGTTAATTCGTGGCTCCCCAAACACGAGTACCACGAGGTGTATTAATTATGATAGCAACAGAAATGAGTTGTCCGCTTACCCAAATAGCACACACTCACAATGTAGTGCGACAATTTGGCGGAAAGTAGAATAAACCGATTTCGCGAACTTACCTTCAGAACGTTTGTCTATCTGCAACTAATCGGAAGATGTTCAATTGAAATGGACTTTGCATTGTGATCGGAATCAGTGAAATGAGTAGCGTAGGTTATCGGTTGGCTGACTTACTTCGATGGGCGAAATCTGGTGTGAAATTGCGAACAGAGTGCCGATAACGACCCAGAATAGCATGATCGTCTGAATTGCGCTTAACCAACTTGTTCCGATTTGCAGCGATTGGGAGTTTCCTTAAATACAACAGTTACCGACAGAGTTCAGTAGTTGTGTTTCGGATCACAGGAAATGGGGTCAAAGCATGTTTTTCTGGACGCATCACAGATCAACTCATTGAGTTGATGAACTGCATCCACGTAGTTTTTCGGGGGAATTTGTGCTGGTAAACAAGTGGTGGGACTTGGTCGATTCCCAACGAACTCACATATTTCCGTCATAATTTGCCTTCTACTGAACTTCAGTCACACTTCTCGTATGACTGTACTGATAGCAGTTATTGAGCATCACTGAGTATACCGGTCGGTGATCGAAATGCGTTACGCAGATGTATATATACTACGTGTTCCATTGACCACACTCAGCATGGTTGTCTCAAGATCGCGACTGAACTGATTAATGATAATGGGGTTTGCTGAACAATTAAGGGAAATTATCAGATTTCGGCGCTTTCCTATGGTTGCTTCCAGCTCAGTTGACGTGGCGCTTGTCACCATATCTTGTACAATTAATCGTATTCCTTGATGATTAGTCCAATAACACCTATCAAATTCAAGTGATGTGAGATATGCTTGTGGCACTGTCCTCCAGAACAACAAGTCTTCAGGACGAACAGGCAAATTTCGTTCTTACTGCTGTCGAAAACGGCTTCGCGAGTTCCTTCATTACGAGTAACATTTCTCCCCACTACTTTCTACCTATTCTTCCCGTCCGGTTTCTCCACATGATTTTGTGTGGGCATTTTGTGTAACTGTGCAACAGCTTAGCTGCCACGTGTTTTGGATCGGGCAACGAAACACGCAAATTATACTAGTTGCGAAGCCGAAACGCCATTCTGAGAAAGCGAAAGCTGTTCAATTCACATTTTATTGGCAAAGCAGAAGTGAACTTTGTATGAAATGTGTGATACTTTGCTCGCGAATTGGATGATCTCGTAGGTGGAGTTTTGGTGAACCTAAGACAAACAGCCATTTGTTGAACAAGGGAGCGGGCGAACGGCCCTAATTCTAGTACAGGTTTGTCGGTGGCACGATAGCGCCATTACAAAATGGATTTCGAAACCAAAATTTCAGATTATGAACGGAAATGACAATGAACACGGTGTGCATTGCCTACATATTGATGGCATAAATATTCGTTTGTGTCAACGAAAGTCACGTAATTTTCATACCAGCGAACGAAAAACTCACACTGAGTGCTGCTCAAACAACTCATCTAAATCCGTTTTTGTCGCATGTGTAAGAAGCTTGGGAAATACCGTGTTGGTGTACGAAAAACAAGGCCAGAAGTCTTCATCTGGATTACATCACATGTTCGGACTTCTTCCGCTTTATTACCATGATGACAGATCCTTCCATCTCTTTGGGTTGAGCAGCCAATCATCTGGTGGCATACGCTTGCTATTAAACACCTATATGAATAGGGACCATTTTTTCATTGCACGTGCCCAAAGAACAATTTGAAATTCTATCACAGTTGCGCACTGATGAGGCGTGAAATATTTTCGCAACCATGGAAAGCGTCTGTGTTGGAAATCTTGGTATAAATTCCCCCAGATATCGGATTCCGTCCAAGTTCATGAGAAGAGATCCCATTCTATCATGTCAGTCTTCACACCGCTGTGGATGTAATCCTATTGGATAGTCCGCTCGGCGACTGCCTTACTCATCTCTGAAGCGTGCCTTGTGGGCTCCGTTTCAGTGAGATAGCATGAAACCAAAAATGATGTTTCACTTCATCTGGTCTACACACAGTATCTTCACTCTGAAGCGCAGTTCTTGCGAAGACGGAACAGAATGAATATACCATAAAGTAAAAATGCAATGCATGAATACATGAATACAATACAGTGACAGCAAAATACGATAGAATGATAAACAGCAACATCAGAATTAGAAATGCTCATAGGAAATAACAGAGGGGTAGTGGACATTGTTTCGACAATACTCCCCAGATTATATTATGCCCGCTTTGTACAATATCAGTTGTTAAGTTAGGAAAAAGCCAAACAGTGCAACCTTGCAGCACGGATAAATGAGAGCTGAACCACCTCATCGTGGTGCCGACCGGGTAGCCTGGACGTCAGTCTGGGTAAGCTAATTTACCACCAACTCTAGGCTGGGCTAACCACCCTGTCTGATTTCAATGTGATGGGTACTTTCGACAATGTATACTACGAATCATCTGGCATCTCCGCACCAGATCCAACCGGGACACAGGACAGACTCGTTGGGTTCACGTGTGAAGAATGTGGCAAGTGCCTGCGCCGATTGTTCCCGCCTTTTTCCGACGAAGATTGGCCTAAGTCAACAACGCCGGGACGCACATCTTACCCAGCATAATGCAGATAAGCTTGGCCGAGTAAAGAATTCCGGTACCCGCTCTTACGCCAGGCTAACACTTTTTATCCATCTTGTGGCACGCAAACCGCGCTGTTAACAAGGTTGGTGCTTCACTGTCAAGCACAACAGGACGAATCATCATCTTGGCCGAGGAATTCCGGTACCCGCTCTTACGCCAGGCTAACACTTTTTATCCATCTTGTGGCACGCAAACCGCGCTGTTAACAAGGTTGGTTGTTCACTGTCAAGCACAACAGGACGAATCATCATCCGGTGCACCTGACCAAACTATCGGCCAAATGGTGGCCTACTCCTCAGCGGCCGATGTATATAGCGTCTGGTTTAAACAAACCGTGGATTGCGCCGTGTCACTCTTGGAATCCAATGCTGACAGTTCGCTTGCTAGTGTTGACCTTCTGACATTTTCCCGAGGGTTGCCGTCTGGCATCATGACACCGGAGCAAGTCCTGTCGCTTCTGGACCTCCACGCCTCCAGGACATTTCCACACACCTGGAAAACTGTTTTACACATGTTCCGTAATCGCCCGTGGACTTGACGAGTTTGGCTGACCCCTGTCCCCGGCATGCACCTAGAATCGTTCCACCGCCTACCAGACGGGAACTGAATTGTTGTCGGTCTAGGTTGCGAGCGGGACGGGTTTTTTTCACGTGCTTTGTGCGTTGGGGA